CTTAAGGCTATATTGAGGCAATCCGCACAGGATGCACATATGCCAACATGAGACCGATCAATTATAGTTCTAAATAACAATGGGAAGATACAAGTAAAACAACACCAATTGAATATTAGTTCATTATAAAAAATTCACCTCTAAACTATGTGAACAATCATTACAAAATTCAACCATAAAACGATAATTATATGATTTTCTTAACGATTGGTTTCTGAAAAGATTTCACAAAGTTCTATTGAAAAGACAATTTATAGAGTCAATTTAATCTAGAATTAGACAATCACACATCGATAACAGCGAATGAGAATTGTATTGTTTGGCAAGTTGGTTGAGATTAAAAATTTTAAACTGTTAGTGATACTAACTCAATATTTTGACAGGAATTGTGTTTATCTCAAATTTGATCCTTTACAAGTTTATAGATGCATAATATTGAATAGGGGTCTTAAAGTGAAATCAAACAAACGCTTAATATTTTCTAATTCAAAATCGATATTAGTGTTTCATGAAAAAAATTATCTTTCCATTGTACAAAATCATTCAAATAAATTTATCATGGTTTAATGAAGAAAAATTTATGTTAACTGTTGACTCAACAGTTTTGTGTACATGAATATTGATAAAATTCAGTATCCTAGAGTCTTGAACCAATAATTCATTCAGGTATAAAACATATTTGCTATACTATAGTTTGTCAATCGACTGTTGGAAGATGTTTCATTGAGTTTTTAGTTATAATAATAATAATGAAAAGAAACCTGTGAGGACTTAAGACCTTGAGCTCGATTCCGCATGGTTTGCGATGAGTAAGTAAAAATATTCTAAATCAGAGTACAAAAACTACCTAGTACCTTTTAGTTTTATATCATTTATCGGTTCATGCTATTTAAGCATGAAATTGAGAGCAAAGTCCGTCATTTGAAAAGTATACTGAAGTAGGAAATCAAATCCAACATGTAAATTAATGTGTTCGTAGTTAGATAAAAGAATAATTAGATGATTTAGTTAAATCACCTAATTTTCAATCACTGAAATAAAATTTTATTCTAAATCAACAGTTTCACAATTAGGTATTTCTTTTCTGTAATCTTCCTTATCTTGTTCCTATCCAAATAACAAATAGTTGTATCAACATTTATTAACAACCTTTTAATATTTAACTGTTTGAAATAGATGATTAAACCGAATGACAATGAGTTTAGCTAAACAACTATTTAAAAACAGGAAGCCGTAAGCAGCCGTTTCATCTTAACAATGATACTTCTCAGTAGTGCATGTTCACAATCCCACAACCAATGACTGAACTCAGGAGCATCGGTGATCTCGGAGTTTTAGTAAAAAGTTATGATCAGTAGGATTCAACGATGTTTAATGTCAGTCAATCACTAAATTCATTCAAATATTGTTGTGCGATATTAGCAATTAATTGAAGCTGAACATGTAATTAACTGAATTGCAGATCAGTGTATGAATGTTCAACCTTTGTGCATCAGTCTGAAGGGCCTGAATCCGACCCTGGTTGTGGGGTGGTGGAGGAAAATTGCTGAGGAGTTTAATACTGGAACGAAATAGCTGATCAGTATTTTTCAGTTTGCCGTGATTGATTAACTAAGATCGGCTCATGTTCCTAAATATAGAACCGATTTTTCGGGACAACCCAAATAGTCAAATACCAAAATACATTTTTTGTAACAGAAGTAATCAGCATTCTTCAAGCTTCAGCATCCAATTATGAATACTCGTTCATGTTCTATGATTTAATCAGAACTTGCTTCACCAATGTGATAAAAGATTTTAATGAGTTATAACGCACCTCTTATGTAGACTAAGGTCTACACGTCTTGTGCCACTTTACTGGATATTTTGAAAAACATTAAAGAAATAATTTAGGTTTTCCATGATGGTCTAGCTTCAACTGATTCATGATCTCAACTAGTAAAATAACTATAATATCCACAAGACTCCTTCTGATACTAATCAACATATGCACACTAGTGTCTGGCTTTAAGAGGTATTTCCTGGAGTTCTAGTGAGAAGCAGTGACCAATGGAGTTCAACTGGGTCTGTTGTGAGATAGTAACTCACTGAAGATAATGGTGGACGTGTCGCCCAATTTCGTGGATTAGCTGAAGTTACACACTAACACGGTTGGATGTCAGCTCAGTAGTCTAGAGGTTAGGCGTTCGCGCGCGAGACCGAAAGGTCCTGAGTTCGAATCTCATGAGGCGGGATCGTGGATACCCACTGTTGAGGAGTCATAAAATAGGACGAAACGGCCGTCTAGTACTTCCAGGTTTTCCATGGTGGTCTAACTTCAATTGATTCATGATCTTAACTATTAAAATAATTTAAGTTTGAATATCTTGATTTTAAAACATGCTGAGCAATTAACCCATGTTATTTATCATCAGTACATACTACGAGATATTCTTGAAGTCAACAAAGGAAATGCTTCAAGAAATTGTCTGTTTATCTTGCAATACAGAATAAGACAGCTTAACATATATTTCAAATTATTACAATTTACTTGAATTTAAAAAAAAAAGAAATTTGAAAATCACTGAATTTTACCGGTTCATTGAATTTACATAATGAATATATTAACTATACATTCATTAGACGTTTGAAACTGATCCTAGACAACATCACTAGTATACACTTATGAAGAGTATGAAACAGGAAAAAAAGTGTTCACTTGGCTTAGTGATTAAGTGCACACGAGCGAGACCAGTAGGTCCTGGGTTCGGATGCCACAAGGCAGGGTGGCGGATGCGTACTGTTGAGGAGTCACACAATAGGACGAATCGGCCGTCCAGTGCTTCCAGGTTTTCCATAGTGGTCTAGCTTCAATTGACTCATAATCTCAGCAATAGAAATTACAAAAATCTTCACGAAACCCCTTCTGATATCTTATATTCACTAACTTGACAAAATAGTTATATGATAAGATTTATTAATGAACATTAAAATAAATAAAATACTTTGCCAAGTAAACCCAATGAGATAGATTTTAGATTGATATTTTATGAAAAGAAAAAAGATTTGAAATGTAGCTACTTGACGTATTTATCAGTTAGGAACAAGATTTTTAAGTAAAATCCTATTGAATATGTTGTGATCTATTTCATCTTGTATCAGGTTAATAAGCATTAAATTACAATCATTCTATTTAAATTGATTATCATATTTATAAACGGTAGTTTAGTATTTTAAATGGGATTATTAATATTTTCATGTTTTAGATCGTCTCAGTCAAGTGATTAGTTTTAATTAAACAAAATTAATTTACTAGTCAGTTGTTATGTCATTACACAATCTTTGAGTTATTAAGTAAACATAATACATTTTCATGTTTATTATGTATTCAGTCTCCAAAACATAAATTATCGATTCTAATTGTGCATTATAAGTTTTTAGATCAGTATATGGTTGTAGAGATTGCTAAGTTTTTATATGTTTATTGAAGGAGCCCTAAATTAAATGTACGATTAATTTTGTTTCCACAGTCACTAGTCATGTTATACTGATGGGAATGAATTTTATGCAGACAGTGAAACATAAATTGTAAATCGATACACTAACTGCATCGGTTTTTTGATATTGATCTCTCCCTGTTGTAAAAGACCTGGAAAAACACAAAACAATATGAAGGATAACCAGTGAGAGGTGAAAATTTTACTTCATTGCAGGTTAGTGTTTTTTATCAAGGGGTTGCTGACCCCATGCCCAACCCTACTTATTTACTCAGGCTTGGGTCCAGCAATAAACCTAGAGGAGATACAGGCGGGATTCTCATTGCATGTAACAGTACATAATCTCATGAAACTTTGGTAATATTATCAATCCTGAAAATTAAAAGAACGCGTTCTCGAAGTATTTTCATCATCAAAAATTAACGTGACATCACTCTAAGACATATCTGGCTAGTAGTAACTTATGTCAATTCCAGATGAATCACTACACGAGTAATACCTGTTTACTTGTGACTGGATGAATTTAATACGACCACTTGGATTGATAAAATAAGAAGTGTATTTCCGCTAATAAAATAGAAATCGACGACAAAAAATATTGGTACGCTTCTTATATCTCATTGATCGCCAAAACATCGGATAACCGGAGTAGAAGTGCAAGCACTTATTTAGTGTTAAATTGTTTAATATTATGGAGGGAAACTTGCTGAATGATCTGTACTAATTGATCCAAAACATGAGTTGGCCAATAAGATTATCCTGACGATGTACATCTAAGAACAGACATTAGAGATAGGATTCTTAATTCATAACTCAACAGCTCATGTTGATCTGTAACTTAATCAATGCGTAATGTATACATCACAGTTTCCTTGTATTTTATATTTCACCATTATTGTAGTTAATTCAGATTTAGATTTTTTTAGCTACTACTACTGAATACATTTTGACAGTATACTTCAATATCTAATCCTAAAGTACGACTTTCCAACTAAAATATGAATGTTAGTGTTAATGAAATTCCAGTTATTAAGAAGAATCGAATTTCTCAAATAGTCTCATATAATTTATATTATCGAAATAATTCTATACTAAGTTTATCCTAACTATCACAACTCGATTATTCTTTTAAAATGAGTTTAAAATAACAAGTCACAATTAAAGTTGATTCTCTTCTAATTATCATATGGTAGTATCAAGAATATTACGAGTTCAATGAGGTTAGCATCTGTAAAATAATTTTCTTGTGTTTTTCTATCGCATAGAAAGGTTCTCAGAAACTACCACACAAAACAGTAGAATTTATTATTGTTACTGAATGCTGTTGTGAAGTACATATTTCATTTACTAATTGATTTACTCTTCAGACTGCTACAAATCTAACCAATCTATTGGTTAGTTATAAAAGCTGAAAATGACACATACGCATACAAAATCATCTTAAGTGATATTTCAATTGAAGTAAAACCACTGCTTAGCAAAGCAAAGGCAAAGTTAATCCATTGTAATTGGCTCTAATATAATCGCTTTAGACTAGACAATCCATGACAATGATAAAAGACTTATGTTAAACAATAGTGATTTTTAAACAAATCAATTCGGAATTTTATATATATATATATTGTCCAAGAAAGAAAAGCATAAACACTAAGTCTGTACAAAAAATTACAATAGGCTAACACATGAAATATCTGTAAGGTTAATCAATAAACATAATTAAATGGTTGGTAATACAATTATTATCATAAACATTATGATTAAGTAATATCTACCCTGATAGAAATAAACAATATCAATTTACAAACTGGCAAGAACAAATAAGTGAAAGGATAAAATGTAAATAATAAGGGATATGATAGAGAAATCATTAAATTTTCATGAAAGATTTACTGGCATATTACAAGCTGCCATCATTTCTTTTTTTTAAAAAGAGACATTACTTAATATCTACAAATAAATTACAGAGATGCAGTAAAATCAAGTGAATGCTTCAAAAGCCTGGTATATTTGTGATAAGGAAAGAATGTGAATAGGTAAGCAAGTTCTACGATCGTTTGTTGTTGGATCAATGGTTAACCAAGATAAAGCATTATATGTTTCTAAAACGTATCTTAATACATCACATGTGCTGCTTGAATCTAGAAGATGTCCCGGACGATTTGACGACGGTCCAACTCCCGGACCGCTTGAACCCCCAGTCGGTGGAGGAGCTGCGGCTGCAGCATCATCAACACCAACCAGTGTAGTTTGTAAATGCAGAGCAGACTTCAAACAAACTGGATACTGAAATTTGGAATGCGGACAAGCAATCCAAAACCACGAGGGCAGTGGACCAGCAGAAGCTGTAGATATGTAATATCCCATGGCCAAGGGTTGTTGCATTAAACTTCCCACTTCATCCTAAGTAGTAAAAATGGTAGATTTAATAGTAAACAAAACGAAATACACAAAACAAATTAGATATTCGATCAAAACTATACGTGTTAGACGGATTGCCGAAACATTTCCAACCAAATTAGTTACCAGTAGCATTTTATGAATACGTTTTAATCTTACTACAATCATTCAATACTGAGCATTATTATCGTACAACTGAGAACTGCAGTTTGCCACCTTATTGTAAAACTACCCTGTATCTCAATACGTTTAGATGATGACAAATTAATTGAACGAAGCAAAATATCTCTACAATTATCAAATGACAATAACTAAGGTTGAAAAAGAAACCTTGGTCGAAACTAGATTTTGGAATTGTCGCCTTTCAAATCTAAATCCGATCTTTAACGTAGTATATTCAACTTGTTAGACCAAAGTTATCTAAGATTACAGTTTACTGTACAAACATACTATGAAACGAATTAAGAGAACCAAGTAAAAACGTCTAATTATAAAGAAAAACGATAAACAGCATAGAAAATCAATATAAATGTTATAATTATGATGAATGTTACACAGAAATCATAAAACTACTAATAACGAATAAATACACGCGATTCACGAACAATATCCTTTATCGTTCATGATGAAATTGCTTCATTTTGTAATTTATTTCTTAGTGACCAAAGTACAAGAAACCAAAACCACAACTTTAAGTTCATACACTAGTTTGGACAAATCAGAGACTATAAAACAGTTAAGAATTGATCAAGCAGTCGTTTGTTGTATAACTAACAGGTGTGACATGAGGAGACTACAATGTTTTAAATATGATAATCCTGATGTTTACGTTAGACAACCTGATGTTAAATCAAAACAAAGAGAAATTCAAATGAATACACGAACAATTTACTTACTGTAGGATCATGTATTCCGAATGGCATTGTGTTGAGAGGATTTATAGCATGACCGAATGAATGTTCACTCAAATAACCTCCAACGTTACTTACATGATTTGGTCCCAAATCCAGTAGTCCAGAATCAAGTCCACGTAAACCCATAACATCAGAACACCCATGTCCCCGATTATCATGAAAACCGACAGCGTACTCAGTGTGTCCATGCAAAACATCACTACCATCGCCTAATCTACCATTAGATGACTTCCCCGTACCATCATTAACACCACTGACACAAACAGGTGGACCTAGGTCGGACAAGCCGAAATTTAATTCAGATGGATTACCGAAGTCAGCCAACATTTCTGCTGTTGATCCGTTTGGAGGAACGAGATCATCAAGGCCAGGATCGTTGGGAAGAAGCCAGTCAAATACATTAATATCATCGGACCCCATCCCATAGATGACTTCAGCTAATCCTGAAGGCTCATGTTCCTAAAAATTAAATAGGCTCAAAAATGTTGAAACCATCAAACCACAAATAATTGATAAGTCAGATTTCTGGGAAATAACTAAGCAAAAAGAACATTTAATAAATTTAGTTGCTCATCTATCAAATACAGACTTATGTTCATGTGAGTTTATAATACTATCCGCTTCAAAAATAATAATTAACTATCGTTAAAATACTGCATACATGCGTATACACATATTTACGGACGTTTTAACCGACTATTTAAAAGTAAAGAAATCTAGTTAAGACTTGTTCACTTGACTGTATACTTCATTCGTGGTGTGGAAAATTAACTAAGTCGAGGTGGGTAGAGCGAGATTTGAACTAGTGACAGGGAAGTTGAAAATCGTTAGATCGTGGACAAATGGGTCAAAATAGTATATCATCTTTTGACAATTTAAAAAAAAAATGAGAGGAAGAGTAGGCAGATACAGATTGATATTGTATCTTATCTTGAACAAAATTATGTGTAAATACGTCTATGATGCGGCAGCTAACAAGAACACAAAGTTTTAATTCAATCGGCAAAAATGATTGACCGACAAAACTCTTACCCCTTTTATCGCTCATTTGATGTCAAATAAAGAGTTTATTTTCGCATCGAATATTTTGTATAGAAGTATGTTATTTTTATTAAAAACAAAACTTATTCCGTTGGTCAGGTGTCTTGCTGTTCGACAAGAGTTCATACGAGGGATTGTGTCCGTAGTTCTATATCATGAGTAGTTATTTGACAGGCACATAGTATCAAAGAGCTTCACTCAATGATCAAGACTTTGTTCACTATTCTAACATTCACAAACTTCAATCGCAAAAATGCACTCAAAGCTATGCTGTACAACAGTCTATACCAATCATAATAATTTTTAATGTCACATAACACCTACGAGTACATAATTAGTGACTTTAAAACCCATTTTACACCATTGTTTATCGAGTCGATGTATGTATAGACTGAATAGAAATACTTGAAAACTCTAACCATCTGAATTGTTCTTAATGTGGGAAAAAACTATCACCTAAAATTGAGGACACTAGTAGAATATGAAGTGATAAGCAGCATTTACAGAAATAGATTCTGATGAGAAGCCAAGTGGCTAAAATTAGAAAAAACAACGCTTATAAAAGTCACTTATGAACTACACGTTCAACTGCGGCTATTATGGTAGCACGTGCCTGTAAAACTAGATCCATAGATACACTAATAGTTGTATCCTAACAACAAAATTGAGTGTTTAGTGGTTATGGATCATACACAAAGTATAGATGTAAGACACTACTTAAAAATTATTTAGAGAATGGAACAAGTGTCGATAAACGGGGTTTGAAATTGTGCATAATTTCCAGTAATTGAAATACTATAATTTTTATGGAAACCTGTTCAACTTCTCATTCAAATGACAGCAAATAATTTATAAAAGTACGATTTAAGTACAACAAACAAACTTGTATGCAAAAATCTTAATACTAAATGAAAAATCAACTTACAGACACACCACTTGCTGAAGTACTAGTAGGAAAGACAAGAATATGGGTTGCACTAGGTGTTTCTGTAGACGTTGTTGGAGTACCTAAAAGTGACATCATACGCATAGCTAATGGTGAAGCATTGGCTCCATAAAATGCACTGTTAGCGCCGTTACTCAGACCACCACTACCACCAGTGCTACCTGCACTTCCAGAGCCACCACCACCTGTGTTACCACCGCCTCCACCACCTCCGTACGTCCATGATTCATCTGAACACAAACCAAAACCAGGATATACACGAAATGTGCTTTGAGGTTCGAGAGAAACAAGACACGCGCTGATTAAACTTGGGAGTTCATGAGTACAACTACTGGCTCCAGTGAAACTATTGACTAGATTCAACATAGGCTTAGAACCATTATTAATGGATGACGAATGTGAAGGAACACAAGATGATATACTACATGCAGTACAGCGCTCTCGAAAAAATTTATTTACATCCTGAAGGCTTTTGCGTCCTAACAGTCCATTCCAACCTACAAAAAGTAACGAACGATTCAAAACAATTGATATTAAGTTTCATATTACTTATTCACAGCAACAGTGAATGAGTGAAATATTGTTAAGTATCGACAAGATATTCTTTTAAGCACTAATAAGTATTAGCTTTGAAAGTTCTGAAAAATTAACTTAGAGATTTCCAAGGATTGTGGTTCACTTTTAGCAGTTATAATCACTAACATATTAGCTAGAATGTGGGGACTAGATGTAATCCCATTTGACTGGTCTTGATTGCTGATTGTTCCAGTTTACACGAATGGATAAAAATCCTCTTGTGACAATCACAGAGGAATCAGGTCAATTAATATAGTGTCCAAAATACTAGCCTCTATAGTCATCACACGCTTAGATACAGTCAATGAAAAGCGAATTTAGGTAAACGAGGTTAGTTTTAGACCTAGACATGTGTTAGCGGGACATAGACTGGATTAAAGCATGCTCAATGCACGCTGACTGGCTAATTCTTATCCAATCAGCACTAGTCGATAGTTGGGGAATACTCTAGAATCTTCTCATGTAAAAACTATAAATATACTAACGTTTTCTCTATTGTGCTTCTGACTTGCTACTTATTTCCATCTAACCGTGTTACCTGGAATATAATCTCTTTCCTGTTCAACCGTGTTCTGATTTGGGGACTTGTCGAGTGAATCGGTGTCCGAGAATACTAAGCAATAGGAATAGCTGGGTCATAACCGTAATAAAGAGATGATAACAACGTGGATGTGTAAAAATATACTCGTTGATCTTAAGTGTTCGATCCCGTTGGTCGAGAAGTTCTGTGAAGTTCCTGGGATCAAAGGGCATACATCAACCTTGTACAGGTTTTCGACTAGAACATTACTGGTTAGGTTAGAACTTATACCGAATTGTCGCAAGAACTGCGAACCTCAAGTGGTGTTTGCTAAGGCTGTCCAATTTCATCATTTTTATTCAACTTTATCATAGACACCGTTTTGGAGACAGCTCCCATCTTTTAGATTTTCAAGAGACTACTACTAGAGAATTCACTTGTTGCAGATGATGAGTTCTATTTGGTGAAGACCCTGACAAAGTGTTGTCTTTATACCGCCTTAAGCAACAATGCAAGAGTCTGGGATGTGAGTCTCCATCTAAATGCGAAACGCTATTTCAAGATCAGTCTTTGTCAACACCTGAAGTAATGATAGAGGGTGATGCAGCTGAGCATGTTGATGTTTCATCACCCCCGCCCTGGTGGGCTAGTGTCTGGCGAAATCTCTACATGGATTTAGTAAATTCGGCGGGATTTTGTCAACTTGTATCATCTGTTGCGTACGCGAACGTCGAACGAAGGACTAACCTACTGAAAAGCAGTTCGCTCCCTTTTAATCTATGCAGGTGAAGCATGGTCGTAAAGAATAGAGGCTGTTCGTAGGTTACTAGTATTTAATTATAAGTATATTCGAAGCACCACTAAAGTATTTTGGGACTACCGAGTGACCAATGCTGAGGCTAGGCATAGGGTAACTAGTAAAGATGATTAGTCGGTCGGTGGACTAATGAATCTTTATAAACTGAGGTGGTTGAGATATGTTACCGGTGCTCTACTACGACCTATTTCGGTATGTGACATCATGTGTAGGTGTAGGTCAAAATGAAGTTGCGGGAACCAAATGAGTCAATAATATCATTGACGACTGAACGGGGTCATGTTAATAAGTGTAGAGTACCCTGTAGGAGTCTACGACTATCGTAGCCACTGGTTAGAGGCTTCAAGTGAATCGTCCATAATGACCCACATGCATTCTTCCTTTACCCTATCTTAGTACCTAAATCCTAAAATTCCCATATATACTAATCTTTGTATACTTAAACTTTCTCACTACCACTGATACTGTTATTACTTCTATCACTTTGAGATTTGTCTTGATATTTTTATCATGTTTTGCTAATGTAGTGTGGCAGCTTGAACCGAGGCATATATATGTCAGGTTCTGTGTGGCATATGACAAGACTGATTGATAAAAAAGAGAGTAATAGTGTTTAAACGGGAATAGGTTTTTAATGAAGTCTTTTAGGAAAAGAATGAGGCATGAACTACAGTCTATTCGCATGATAATTTACTTTGTCAGCAAGATTTTTAAAGGGATCACTGGAAACTCTTTATATGACCTTACATTTTAAGGTGCTGTTGACAATCAGGTTTTTGAAGGATATTTAACTAATATTCCCGAGGTTTTTGTAACCGATAACACAAATTCTGAGAAAAACGAGAAGATTAAGTAATTATCACACGATAAACTTGCGAAAACGAAATGTAATTTCTGGATATCTTTAAAAAACTAATATATTATTAAAAATAAAGGTTTCAGATATCTTCGGAAATGCAAATATTATGTAGTAATATCCATCAGAGTAAAATAGTTATTTCTAGAGAATGAAACTAACCTTTTAGTTCTCCTTGTCCCAACCTACCAATTCTTCCTACTACAAGTCGCCAAGCGTTGGCAGTTTGACTGATCAAATTAATAATATAATCCCAAAGTCGTGCAAGCCCAATACGACGAGGGCTTAAAATATGTTTATTTGATTCTGTTGGCTGAAAACGTTGATTTTCTATTTCAGTAAAATATCTTGCTGGGACACGAATATTAATTAAAGTATGATCTAATAATCCACCTTGTTCATCTGTAAATGTAGCAAGAAGCCATTGTTGATCTTGTGAAAGACAATATGCAACAAATAAAACAGACGACCGGTCAATAGGTTCTGATGAAATATCTAGTTGACTGAGTACATCACGTGAGTTCATGAGCGTATATGGAGGCGCAAATATAGTTCGTTTATGGAAGCTCTAAATTGATATGGTTTAAAAGTGTAAAGGTAGATATATTTAAAAAATAACAGTGCGAAAATTCGACAATTAAACTTATACATACGACTAAGTACTAATATACAATTGAATAGTAAATAACCAAGAACAGCTAAACAGTTATAACCAACACATAGCTTGTCATAAGTGCGTATCACCTCAAGTTGTCAAATACCACATTATCTACATGAAATTAATAAGATGAATAGTAAGTCTGTGTAAACAGCCTTGATCCATACTATAATATTTGTGAGGATGATGTAGTTGGTTACACTTAAATATATGGAGACAATTGTGAGGTGGCAACCCGATAGTTGAAAGTCACATTTTAACCACTAAACATTAGCTTCACATCAATTCAAAACTTATTCATCGAGTATACGGGTAGCAAAAAGTTGGTAGGAACTAAGAACAATTAACTTTACAAAAATATTTCATGGGACTAAAAAGTGTAGGCTTGTCTCAGACTTCATAAAAGCATTCAGTGATACATAGTTCTTTTAATATTTCTTGAAATACAAAATAATTACAAACATATTGTTAACATCGGTGAGATGGAAAAATATTCCAGGAAAAATACACCAGTAAAAATAAATGGATTACGATTAGCCACGGAATCCAAGAGTTGGGTTTCGTTCTGTCAAAAACTCGTCAGCTGAACTTATACGCAGTACGTAACCCTTTAAACACCAATACATTATTCATCAAGCTGTTACCAGATAGCCTCTAAATTGTTCAACAGATATGAAGTTAATTGTGTAAGTTTAACTGATCAATATCAGTCCTGAATATCAAAAAGGGGGAAATGCAAGTCTTCACAAATTGCCATATCAGCTTTTCATAAACAATTTCATCCCCTAACTTATTCAGTCTGCTATGTTCACTGCCACTTTTTTCCAGCTAATTATTTGATCTATTTATAAAGATTGTTAGATTTCAAATAGTTGGAACACGCATTAGATATACATAGTAGTGTATTTGATCATAGGTGTCTTCGAAACATTGCTCGTATATCCTGGAACCATCGAGTAACTAACACAGTTGTTAGTAAACGGGTACTAGGTAAGGATGGCAAATCAATTGATGACGTAGTGAAACTTCATTAGTTGAGATGGCTAGGACATGTGTTACGTATGCCCAACCACCGACTGCCTCAATGTGCGATGTTTTGTTGTATAGGAGTACATTGAAAGAAAGCTAGGGGCGGTCAGACCAAAACATGGCACAAGTCCATGAAGTCACTGACAAGTAGACTGAGTCATGTTGATAGGTGTAGACTACCTGGTTGGGGACCGCGAGATGATAGCAACCGATGGTTAGAGACCCTGAATCACATGACTCAAAATCGTTTGCAATGGCGCAGGTGCATACACTCTTTGTGTTCTCCCAAATTCTGATCTTCTGAATTCTTCATGTCCCTTTCTGTTTTTCTTTCCAGAATTATTTCACTGGTTTATACTCTTCGAATAACATCTTCAAACCGTAATGTTTCCGATTACTGCTTATATTCTTACTACCTCTACCACAATGGGATTTGAATCGACAATTGTATGTGTGTGCTGTGTTATGGTAACTCGAACTGATGTACGTACTTGTGTACGAAGTTCTACGTTGTTACTGACTGACTGACATAGTAGCGTATTACCACTGTTATAATGAGCAATAAATTAACCAAAATAATTAATCATACCACCTTAGGATACCAAACTACGAGCAATATTTAATAAATGGTTAACATTTCATTGCATTCTACAACACAGCTGCTATACAAAAAGAAAACAAATTTCTGCATAAAACAAGAAATTATCATTCTGAGCTTATTCTACTAAATATAACAAGCACATGTAAAAACTAAATAAATACTATATGAAGTTGTACCTGTAAGTACTGTGTGTGTATGTGTGAATTACACTTAATAAAGTCACTTCGAGAAAATTCTTTCTCTAGTTTATAGACAAACATTGATTTTAGAGGAGAATAAAAGTAGTGTTAAAGTTGCGGCGAACTAATACAGTTCAATAGAAAAGTTATTTGTCGCTTCTAAATTTGTTCATTATGAATAATGACAATCATTAGGTGTGTTTTAAGTAAGCACGGTCAGTGATTAACAGATACACATATATATAATGTTATTTATGATACGTTGTGTAGACACGCGAAGAATTTAAAAACACAAAATGATACTTAATATTCATTATTTTTTATGAATAAGGAATACAAAATGATGATAAAAACAAATTCAATTGTTTCTACCAGTTAATGAATAATTACAGGTCAGTAAATTCAACCTAGATAAAGTATATCATTATTGAACAGATTTTTAATCATATAAGGTGCATTTCAATTATATTTAGTTAGAGAGCTGGCTAGGTTAATTGACTAGTTCACAACTAACAAATAACTATTTTCTTTATATATAAAAGAAAAGAGAATTGAATTTTAAGTAAATCAACAGCATTCACCCTAATAAAATTAAATAAAAACAAAAAACAGACAATAACAAGGAATATAAATATGCACGATGTTTGCAAAGTAGATCGTTGAAAAGAAAACTTTGTAAATAAAATGAGCTGTCAACATTAATGGTGAGCAATTGACCTTCATGGCAAAATCCACAAACGGTACAGTAATTGATTATGAGAAAGTTAAATGTTACTCAGTAACCTAAATACATATCTATGTATTTAGCTTCGAGCAAAATTTCATATATGAAATTTAATGGTCCAATCAAGTTGGCCGGACTGATGTTCATTACATTTGAATTGAAAATATAACTCAACGGTTATGTCATATGGTTTAATCCCCAAACCACTTTTCCTCAAATATGCTACTCTGTTACATACGTTTATAATTGAAAGGGTAATAAAGAATCATTGCATTATAGCTGACGTTAATTCGTGACGAAAACCCTAATCGTTATTTATAACTTTAACCTAACTCCGAATACCTAGACTTAATCTCTCTCCGTTTACTATAATAAATAATGCAATGTGTAAGGGTTTATTGATCATATCAAATTTATTTATCCACTGTAATTTTGCTGCTTTTGTTTTCTAGTTTGCTAATAATTAGCTCAAGATTACCAGTATAGTATTTTTCTACAGAAACCACTAACACGGAATCATAAACATAGAAAAAAAACAATTTGAAACTTGACCGAATGAAAGTTCTGCTTTTAGTAGGTGATGAGAAAGATGACCAAGGAATTTTTTTCAAGGGATTGTTAAACAACTACCCGAAGCATTAGAAAGTCTTGAAATTTGGTTTAACTTACGTCTTTATCATTTGAAATAATTTCTTTTTCAGCTGCTGGACCTATACCCGTTAATGTACGATTTGCATTTATTAAACTGGGCTCAATGAAACGATTCACAGATGTGTAAATTGCCAGTGCTAAAGGTCGTAAACGGGGCAAATAGTCAGACATGACATGATCAACTGATAAAATTTGTGTAGTGACACGTGCACGCCATGATTCAGGTAAGGAATTCAATATATGATTGGCAGAACCGACTAATGACTGCATAACAAGACGACCAAGCTCCATACTGATATCATACAACTAAAATAAAATAAATAAAAGAACATAAATACTGAGATCAATGTGATGTAAACATTATAATACACACAGTTCAGCTTATACAAAAATGAAATTCCAGAAGCGATGCTGATTAATATTATTCAAATAATAGGTCTTACAATCATCTCTGTTAATGGCTTGACGGTTGTAAATAAAGATAAAGTGATCGGTGAAATTTGCCATTCGAAGACATTACGTGAAATTTATTGGATTATCAACATATTTGTGCATACTTTTACAAACTACAAAATTAAACCAAAATAATTATTTAGTCAGTAATCTGTTTATCATTTTTCTGTCTTTATTAAATATAACTGAATAAAAATTTATAAAATACTTAAGAGGATAGACTCGGCAAGGAAAATGATATAAGACCCTACAGTGATTGAATAAACCAGTTATTCATAAAACTTAGTCCATGATCAGATTATTATATCAAGGTTTTGGAACTACAGGTGTTAATTAAAAATACACAGCTAACCAATACATTGATGGATAGTGGTTAGCAGTGGAATCCAGGACGCGCGTTTCGTCCTATTTGGGACTCGTCAGCTGGATGTACCTGCATCCCAGAGTTGATGTTCACTCTAAGACGCGTCCTGGATTCCACTGCTAGCCACTATCCATCCATCATTGCTTACAAATAGCTTGTGAATTAAGGTAATATCGAGGCATACGCACAGTACGCACACATGCCAATAACAGACTGATCAATTGCAGTCTTAAATCTCAATGGGAAGATACGAGCCAAACTATACCAAGTGTAACCAATACATTTCCTTTCTTTACAGTATAGAACAATATAGAACAATAGCTAGACAGTAAAGCTATAACCGTTTGCTTTTAAAATTTACTCTACGTCAAATTACAAAACTGTTAGCATCAAACCAGCTGGATTGCAATATTTCCATAGAATATGGAAGTGATTTCTACATATTGTACAAATTAATTTTAAAATGTAAAACACAATTAAGATAGGTAAGAAAATGTTGATTACGGTAATCTTCAGCCATATATTTCAAAATCAGTGAAAACTTTGATTCCCAAGTTGTAAATCAGCTTTATACAACGCATTTCGATTTAGTTATTTTACCTATACAACAGTTCAGACTAGGAGTGTACGTAGTCAATCATCCTACTTGTATATTTAATACCCAAGTTTAATTCAACAGAAGGCAAAATATACATCAAATGACCAGGAGATTGGCCAAAACAAGATGTTTATGTGATCTGAAAAAATACGAATGGTTTTATATGTAAAGTCATTCAGTTTAAGTAGGGTGATAACTAACAGATATGTCTCAATTGTGACAAAATATGTAAGAATATGTTTCTTGCACAAACACGCAAATGAAGTTTAAGCAATTGGTTAAAAAATACTAGAAAAAAAAATTTGTTCCAATATTGAAAAAGTTCCCAATGAATATATAGAATAATCTTAAATACCATTTGGTTCCAAGTTAGATGGAATACAGAAAAAGTGTTCTGTGAAATATGACCAAAATTATTGAGTGTAAAAATGATGATTAATCGACTAAAATCAACAAGGAGCAACTTTTATCAACCGGTGAGGCTAGTATCCAGAACATATTTTATTTGACTCCCGAAACTTAGAATAGGAATAGTGAACTTTTAAAGTTGATAAAGAAGTATTGATAGAAGCGGGTATTTATTGCGTAATCAATCACTTACGTAGCAGAAAGGATTTAGAATGTATATTACTAAATAAACATCACTCCCCGCTCCCCAAGAGGATGTATCCAAGGATGTGGTGAAGGAACCATCACCATTACTGTAGCGTACAGAGTAGCCACTATCCATTCTGCTTGGAACTGAAAGTCGGTTTACAATATTCAATTTTATATCATCTTGACTTATTTTTACAGGGACGCTAGGCTTCTCTGATTTTATTGATTCAAAAGGTGGGAACAAGGCAGAGCGAAGATTCGTATCAAAACTAAACTCCACAGCAACACCGTGTTTCTTCAATGCAGCTATGGCGGAGTTCACTGAAGAGCAGGCGTAGTTTTGAATAAGTCGTAGTATTGATTCTCCACATAGTGAATGATTACCTAGTTGTTCTGTAAGAGTTTTCAGAAGATCCGGATGAATACTTACGAAGTTATCAGATTCTGATATTGAAAGACGTTCTGAAATGCAGGTGTTAAAAAATAAATCGATTATAACATCGGAATTCCTACGACAGATGTATCAATGAAATATTCAATTAACATACTGAGATTAAACTTCGGGATAAAAACTTATCATATGTAATGATATCGAAAATTAATAAACCAACTACTTTCACAACCTACTGATTACTAAATAGTAAGTGAAGTAAACGAAATTGATGAACTAGTTTACAATATGACTCCCAAGTTAACCAAACCAAAACTGGAGTCTGTAAGCAAGAAAACCTGCGTGTTAGTTTTTATTGGCGGTGTGTTTGTAACCTCATAGACAGAAAATTTTTTACGGAATCCTGTTGTAGGTAGAAGGAAATTATGAAAGTCTTGATATTTTTAACTTTGAAACGACACTATCAAAAACATAGGTGACAAACATTTATTAGATTTCATTACGAATCTATGTACATAACTTTAATAACAATGATAATCGAAACTGTTACTTAACAAGCAAGAAACGCCAGACTGCTATTCTACGGACAGTTAAATAAAGACATCTTAAAGGAAAGTTGTGCCCTTAACACATTATTTGACAAATTAAACTGTCATTCGAAGGAATGATTAGATGTGGAGTTAGTTTTGTAAATAATTTATTCGTTTTGAATTATAAAAACAAAAAAACTAAATATAACAAACAACTTACCTGGATTTGGAAAGACGGGTATAAACGCTGTATCAGGCGAACCTGCTTCTGGTTTGTAATACGGGAAATGCTGGCCAAGATGGCAAGCTTCATAGGTATGTGACAGTTCTTTCAGAAAATCAACAAGAGTACGTCTTAATGAGTTTGAGGTCGATGAAGAATTTGCATCAGTGCCCTCAGACATTAGAATATTAGGAATATTAGATGTCAAATCAGAGAATATATGAGAGTCAGAAGGCAAGATCACAGCATAAGCAATACGTTTAGGTCGCGATAATGGAAATAGTGATAATCGGTCCTATAAAACCATAAAATAAGACGGCTAATTATAAATAAATACAGACAAAATAACAAACAGTGTATAGACATGTATGAAATTAACTATGACAGATAACCTTAACAAAATAGTTCAAAACAAACCTAAAGATTATAGAGATATTTACACTGCAAATCATTAAATAAAATGAAAGTAGATAATACTATAGGCTCAGAAGAGCCAAATTTAATAAATTTTCTCAAAAACACGATTATACACGTGCAATGCAACTGAGGGAGACACATTCGATCGCTAAGGTTTCGTAAAATAATTTTGAGAAAAGTTGATAAGAGTATACGTGACTAGCAATAAGCAAAATAGAGAACATATTTGAAGGAAATAAGACGGCAAACATTACCCAATCACGAAGAGCGAATGGAGAAATTAACAAGTTTTCTTGGTCGCAACTGCTAACGCGCAACTGAGGAATCGGTTGAGGTTTACAAGTTTCATCAGAGCCTCGACCAGCAAGTTGATGAAATGCTTTCCAAGTTAATGGTCCATCAACCGTATAGTTTGATTCTAACATACGAGTAGACGAAATGGCCTCCTGAAGCCAAGGACGTATTGTCTGGAAATAAAAAACGAATGCATATTTAGAGGTACATACTTCAATATCTAATCAAATTATAACCCTTATTTAGCAATCAAAAAGTGGGTTTTACACCAAAGCGAAGAAAATTTTCAAGTAAACATAAGTGAATAAGTTACATGAAACCAATACAACCTAGCCGAACTAAACCATATTTCTAAACACAACAACAGTTTTACATGGATCAATTGTGCGTTTGTACATAGACCAACAAGCGTTTTGTTACTAAAAAGAGATTACCAGAAAATTATGTGAAATTTACACATTAAATGTCTTGAAAGGAAGATGCGTTCATTAGTTTAGCAACCGAGTAATTATGTAGCAAATTCTGAAAATAATGAAACGATAGATTTTCCATAGAAAAGGTGATTTACTGAGATCTATTACATCTATCATCATTGCTACAGTCATTCATCTTTATTACAGTTATATATGGTATATTGTAATTCAATACAAGAACAAACGACAGTCGTAGACATTGACATAATCCCAGAATAACAAACGAAAATATTTTAAAATACTGAAGGGTCAGTCAGTCAGTCAGTAACAACGTAGAACTTCGTACGTACGTACATCAGTTCGAGTTGCCACACCACATTAGCACAGAGATGCACTTGTCGATTCAAATCCCGTAGTGATAGAGGTAATAAGAGTATAAGTAGTAATCGGGAAGATTAGGGTTTGGAGATGTTATTTAAAGAGTATAATACAGTGAAAGAAATTTGGAAAGAGGAAAAAAGGGACATGAAGAATTCAGAAGATTAGAGTTTGGGAGAACACAGAGAGTGGATGCACCTGCGCCATTGCAAACGATTTTGAGCCATGTCATTCAGGGTCTCTAACCATCGGTTGCTGTCATCTCGCGGTCCCCAACCAGGTAGTCTACACCTACCAACATGACTCAGTCCACTTGTCAGTGACTTCATGGATTTGTGCCATGTTTTGGTTTGGCCGCCCCTAGCTTTCTTCCAACCTACTCCTATACCACTGAACATAGCACGTCGAGGCAGTCGGTCGTAGGGCATACGTAACACGTGTCCCAGCCATCTCAACTGATGAAGTTTCACTACTTCATCAATTGATTTGCCATCCTTACCTAGTACCCGTTTCCTAACAACTGTGTTACTTACTCGATGGTCCCATGATATACGAGCAATGTTTCGAAGACACCTATGATCAAATACTAGTAACCTACGGATATCCTCTACTCTTACCGACCATGTTTCACTGCCATAAAGTAGGACGGAACGAACTGCTGCGCAGTAAACACGTCCTTTGGTTGATAGACGGATATCTCGCCTACGCCATAAATGACGCAAGTTGGCAAAAGCTAGTCGAGCCTTCTGTATCCGTGCTGAGATTTCGTCACACACCAAACCACAAGGGCTGATGAGACTTCCAAGATAAGTGAAGCGGTCGACACACTCAACTACTTCACTCCCTATCACTAGTTCGGGTGTCGATGTAACCCAATCCTGAAGCAACATTTTGCATTTCGAGGGAGAGAATCGCATCCCGAACATGCTTGCATTGTTGCTTAGAGTGGTCAGAAGACTCTGCATTTTGTCAGCGTCTTCACCAAATAAAACTATGTCATCTGCATATTCTAAGTCAACAAGTGAACCTCCTGGTAGAAGTTCAACCCCTGGAAATTTAGATGAGGAGAGTGTTATCTCTAAAAGTACGTCAATGACAAAGTTGAACAAGAATGGGAAGAGTGGACAGCCCTGACGAACACCACTTGAGGTGATCAATTCTGATGACAGTTCGCCATAAGCTCTCACTCTACCAGTTGTGTTCGAGTAGAGAGCCTTTATAAGGTTAATGTACTTCTTTGGTACTCCTTTCAGTGACAAACACTGCCATAGAACCTTACGATCAACGGAGTCGAATGCCGCCTTAAGGTCGAGAAATACTACCATTGTGGGGCGTCTGAATGTGTGTCTGTGTTCTAGAACCTGACGTAGTGTGAATAAATGGTCTATACAACCACGTCCAGGTCGAAAACCAGCCTGATTTTCTCTAGTCTGCTCTTCACGAGCTTTAGTTAGGCGTCGAAGTATTATTGAGGCTAATATTTTAGACACTATATTAGTCAAACTGATCCCTCTGTGATTGTCACAAGAGGACTTTTGTCCTTTCTTAAAAACTGGCACAATCAGTGATTGAGACCAGTCAGATGGGATTACGCCCAGTTCCCAAATTCTACCTAAGACCTCAGTTAATCTCATTGCTAATACTGGACCACCATCCTTAAAAATCTCAGGAGTAAACCTGTCAGGGCCTGCTGCTCTCCCTCGTTTCAGATTTCCTATGGCTTTTTCAACTTCGTAAAGGGACGGAGGACTTACATTAACTTGCCATTCAGGTTGACTGGAGATCGTGGGAAACCGAAGTGTGGCTGAAGGCCAGTTGAACTGATCCCTAAAGTGTTCTGCCCATCGATCCAATCTCCTGGATTGAGAATGAATAATATGTCCATCTTTCTCTGAGATTGTTTCGCTAACGGTCGGGTTCCTAATTCCGGTTTCCTTAACGAGTCTAAACAATTGTCTGCTATTACCTATTGCCGCTGCCTTTTCCATCTCTCTTGCTTTCGCTACCCACCACTGTTCGCGATCATTGCGTAGACTTCTTGTCAGCTTGCGCTTAAGCTGACTCCGCTCTTCATTATGTTCAGAGCCAGGTGGAATGAGTTTTCGAGAATCTATCAGTGCGATAGATGCTGCTGAGATCCAGTGTTGCTCCCTAACTTTACGGTTTACCTTACTAGCAGATATCACTGCTGTTTCCACAGCTTTTCGGATATCGTTCCATGCTGCCTCGGGGTGGGCATCACATACATGGCTGCCTAACTATTTTCCTAGTTGTTCCTGAAATATACTCTTAGCTTGACTATCATTAAGTAGAGCCCTAAGAGGTTTACTTGCAGCGTCTTTCCTACGTCCAGTAAGACGCAAGCAAATACGCGCTCGCACTAGAGCATAATCTGAATCTAGGCATGTGCCCCAGAATGAGTGACAGTCTTCTATCGATCCCCTCCATCGGTGGCTGATAGCGATGTGATCTATTTGGGTCCAACGTTGGGACGAATTAGGGGGTCGCCATGTTAAAAGATGTTTTTCCTTATGCTTAAAGTTAGTATTTGCAAGGAACAGGCGGTTATCTGAGCATAGCTGCAACAGACGGTCGCCATTATCTGTTCTTTGAGCCACGACACCATAAGATCCACCTAGGTGTCTTTCCTTATCGCTTGGTTTACCTACTTGAGCATTAAAGTCACCGGCCACTATTACTACATCCGAGCGCTTAGCTTTTCGGAGAAGGTCCGAAAGCTTTCTGTAAAACTCATCTTTTACATCATCTGAGCTGCAGTCAGTGGGAGAATAGGCAGAGACGACGAAGAGGCAACGACGAGTGTCCCTATCTTTCCGGATTCTTACTGTTCCGTTCAGTCGGACAGCGCACAAACGACTGTCTACTGGGATCCACTCTAAGAGAGCTAGTTCTGCCCTAGGACTCAATGCTATACCTACGCCGGCGAGGCCACGGAAAGCAGAATCAGGGCTTCCAGATACACGAAGCGTAAATCGAGTCGGTTCTTTATTTTGGCATGGTGCGGTCAAATGAATGACACTACTTGGATCCTGTATGCGCGTTTCGGAGACGCAGCACACATCGATGGCGCGAGATTCTAAAGTTTTAGCTAAGGAAGCCTGCTGTCCTATTTGACAAAGTGTTCGTACGTTAAAAGCTCCAACGTGTAGTTTAGAGCGTGGTTTCAGGAGACCAGGAATGGCGTTCCACGTACTCGAATCGTTTGCCCTAGCGGTGCGAGGTGATAAAGAGACGTGAGGAGGGTTAGTCGGGAGGATAAGAGAGGTATTAGGAGGTGTAGGAAGGATTTGAATGTGACCACCTTGGTCTCGTGTGCTGTTACGGGTATGAGGGCTGATGTCACTTCCCGGCTGCCCACACCGTGGAAGGGTATTTCTTGAGGAACCTGAAAAGGAAATCGGATTAGTGTTGGTCTTGACGACCTGGGAGCGTGACCGCAGAGCCCAAGGGACAACTGCTTGAGGCCGGTCGCGCACGGCCTTTTTGTGGAAGGTTTTTGACGTGTTAGCTCCGTTCTTCAAGGGCCCTTACCGCCGGAGACGGAAATCCGTGAGGTAAGGTGAGGTGTGCACTTTTAGGGTCGACCTTTTCTAACCCCACCCCTCCTTGTGGGAAGGCAGCATCGCTGTCATGCTGGTTGTCCGAGGGAAACACCTTACTGCTGTCACACCTCTCTACAGTCAGCAGTACGACTTCGCCCTCAGACCTTGTGTTGCTGCTTTTAGTCTTACCGTTCGCCAATCGACCTGCCTGGCATGGTAGAACCTGCAGGAACATATGTTCCAGCCAATATAGCTCGGTTGGGTCATCACGATAGGCAAGCCCGACCACCGCGTCAAGGTAGCAGCTTCGATCGGGAATACTGAAGGGTACTCGCAAATATAATAAATAAAGAGGTGTGGTGAACCTCATCTTCACACTTATAAACCAATTACATTTAGATTCGAATGACAAAAACAATGATGAACAATACTTAGTCTAAGGAAACCAAGAATATTATAGTACTCAGGTAAAATTTCGAATGCTTAGCATCCAGAAATGACAAACAACAAACTTCCACAGTACAAGCAAGTATCTAAAATAAACGGAAACAACTACACATTACTTTCTTTCCGTTTATGAGACATGAATATATCGCTCTCTATTAACGTTCGAGTATATGCATTGGCCTCAACAGTTATAATAACAGAGACTACTTGCGCGAGAAGAAATAAGTACAGTAAGTGCTAAAATATGATTAGAAATTTCAAAGAAAAGGATAAACTTATCTGAATCGTTAAGCTTGACGAACTAAAATAAATGAATTACATAGTAGATCGTACAGAAATTGTTCACGATTCTACGGAAACAAACCGATTGTTTTCTGCAAAAATTAATATTGGGAAAAATAATACCCGTTGGGCATTACTAGACAAGTGGAATACTTTGACTTAGCCTGATTATCGCTTTGAATATTTCTTGTTGTTATTGAAATTCATTTTTTATGCCGTCCCATAAACCGAGAAATCAGCGAAAAAGAAATAATATTATGACGTTCTCAAAGTGATAAGTCTTTTAATTACATTAAGTTCACATATGAAATGCAGTAGCCGCCGACGTTAATAGCAAATAAACTTTAAATAATCACAGTAGAAACACTGAATAAAACTACAAAAACGGACACATAACTACTTACTGTCAATAAGCGAATCTGGTCGTTTTGATTTTGAGGCATCTTAGAATGAGCTTTTAGAAAAAAAGATGGGTGAATATACGCACCAGTTTCGGAAGCCGGGTGAGGTGTACCATTGACAATGGAATCAATATTGTCAACATGGCCAACTACTCTGCGTGGACGCACTGTTTCAACGGAATTGCGAATAGCCGACGCAATTAGGGCACAAGCATCTGAATAAGTTAGATCAATAAAAATTTTAAATAGAAACGTAAAGTAAAGTAAATTTTGCAATTAGGATCATCAGGAAACAGTAAAAAAAAAGGCAAAGATCCTGACTTTTGGAAAAGGACACGTGAAAGGAGAAAGCTTTAATAATCACAGCTAAAATATCATGAAACATTTAGACTAAATAATGATAGAAGATTGAGATGAATCGTACTTCATGATTTTACAGTCAGTGGTGTTAAGGACTAATGAATCAATTAACGAATACAATGCAACTAATAAGTTAATTAGTATGAAATTGTATTAGAGGGCTTATATTCGTAGATATCGCCTCAGTGATCAGTATGAAGCACAAAACCTATACTAAAAACTTCTGCTCAACAAAATTAAAGTTATCAAGATCCACAAACCATGTTGAATAATAACCTGATATGTAACGTACACAAGCCCTATTTAAATGAAAACATTTTGTACCTTGTTATCTCCTGAAATAAAGAAAACCAGATGACTATTAATGAGAATAATACTCTAGTAACAAATTGGTTCACATACATAACTCACTACACTTAATGAATGCGATAGTTTTGTAATTTCAATGCTGATATGACTCACATGAATTCGGTTTTATTACGTGGATAAACATAACGCAATTACGTTAACCCGGAAAATATGCAGTTGGATATTTTTGATGCCACTTTTCTTTCCCCTATATTATTTCAATGCTTTTCTCCCAGTTACCGGTTAATAATTGATGTTTTTTGGAATAAAGTACAGTACCGATCTACTTCAGTTCTAAATTGATGAACTTAATTTGATTGGCATCCACTATGATGAACACTTGCGTTTATTTTTTTTTAAAAGGCTGGCTAATATATAACTGATTGAAGGTACTGATAAAATCAACCAGCACTCCAAGTTTATGAATACTAAATCCAATAACTTATGACTCCATAATTAATAAACAAACAGTCATGATGGAACATCTTTGAGGTGTTAACGGACAAGGCATAAACATGAAATTCTTGTACTTTATGAACACTTAAACTTACCATCATATTCTAGTTTATTTTCTTTAATGACTTGGTCACACGACAACATATTCCATCTTAGTTGATCAGTTATCTGTCGTACACTAAATTCTTCAAATACGCTACTCATTATCCGTTGAAGTAAAAGCAAATGACTAACAGAAGGATGAGAACTGGTTACCCACCAACCTGGACGTGTTCGGTAGTTCGGTGGACGAGTATATGGATTTTCATTGTTCTGACTCAAAGAAGACCGAACAGACAATCGGGTTACTTCAATCTCATCTTCATAGAATAAATTTCCATTAACTACATATTTCTGATTCATCACAGCACTGAAACCACATTTACATCCTCGTGTAAAATGGAACCCAGACCCGCCAACTAGGTCATGACTTCCAAAAGTTGAAGTGTTTGTTCGTCCTGATCTACTACAAGGTGACGTTGTAGATATTGAATTGGATAAGTAAAGACCAATTTCAGAGCCAAGTATGGATGACGTGCATTCACAAATGTTACAGGAATCAAAATTATGGTCTTTGAATAAATTTAGCATAGAATCTGAAAGGATTAAATTTACTAAAAGTCCATTGGTTTCAAGTAGGCTGGCTAACCACTCGGTGTAATCCTCTACGTAATTGGTATTAGGATTCGTACAATCTGCTGACTTCACAAACCCTGTGATAGAATAGGTAGTCCCAGACTCATTCAGTTGTTGAGGTGAACAAGGTTTATTATCAGCGTTTGCAACATTTCGATGTAATGAAGTTGAAGAAAAATAATTGGGAGACGTTAGCCAAGACTTAGATGTCACAGACTGATTCCCAGTGTTGACGACCAACCCATTAGGTGTAAAATGTGGATCTGAACAATCTGACGTGACAGATTTTTGGTTTGATGCACGATGGTCATACGACCATTTCAGCTGAGGCAGAGACTTTGCGAATAATGAAATTTCGTCATGAGGGATTTGATAGTTACTTGTCATACCGAGATAGGCAGCGCAAGGTTGAACGAAAGACCATTCCTAAAACAGACATTTATGAATCAATTAGTTATAAGCACATTCATGAAAATGGTGAGGTATAACCATTTTTATTTTTATTAAGGTTTTGCAGCTACATATATTTTGCCATGCTCGAATTATCGAAAATTATCAGATCATGGTACCAATGCCGATATTTACATCAGAACAGCATTAATAAGTCACAACAGACACTCGATCAGCAGCATAGATTCAAGATTTAATAAAACAGCAAAAAACATATTATCATAATCGATTCATTACTTAATACTCCAGCCAAACAATAAATGGAATCATATTGTCAATCAAGTTGTAAAAGTGATAGTTCAAACCATTATATCAAATTTGAATACCATTGTTCTTCTGATAAGAAAAATTTATTGGTATCACTAGGTCTCAAAGAAAAAGTTTACTTTAAGCCTTAATATCAAAACTAAAGTGTAGTTATTAGTGAGTAATCTCATTGTGGCTCCACCAATTGATTATGGAGCTATGTAGCTGACTGACTAACTGACTATGTCAAGACGTGTTGCATATTAATTTCGAGAAAATAACCAGTTTTTTGTAGAAATGTCTTCACACTATTCATCACCAAAAAGAGCCTACTTGAGATTCCATGCTGACGCTACCGAGGTTTTGAATGCAAGGCAGTTTAGCAAGATGCCATAATCCCTGATTTTGACAAGACGGTGGCGAATTGGCAGACTGGAAAGGTACAGGAATCGAATGTGATGATGTGTCTGTTACATTGGAAGATAATGAGTCCTGGATTGTTTGAACAGACGGAGAGCCAGGCCCAGGGGTGCTTACTGAAGTTGTTGAAGGGTTCATACGGTTGGTGGACACTGAAACACCATCAACAGGACTAGGTTGAGGTGCGTCATGGGATGGTGGTGTGGGAAGCATTAAAGCTAGTTCTGCTGGTCCGATCGGTCCAGAACCGGTACTGCTAGCGAGACTGACTCCTCTCTGAAACAAAATGTTAGTATAATAGAGTATTAATTTGGTATGGAACAGTTGTAGAAGACTAGATCTCAAACTTCACACTAATAGTGCAAACGACTACTGATTCAAGAAGACAATGACCCAAATAAACACATTTATCAGTCTGAAAAACAGAGGTCATAACAGAAAACGTAACCTTCTTAGAGTACAGTTTTGTAAACTAATATGTTATGTTTGGGAATAATAACTGATTCAGATAATACTTGAATGACTAAGTCAAGAAATGAAAGGTTTGTGATGAGCTGATGACACGAGGGTTTGTTAATCGACTTCCTGAATCATTGAAAGGATAAATCACAATGCAATAAAAAATTATTCAACATCAGTGGCTTAGAACCACTGAATAGTTTTGTCTGAATTACCTAGCTAAATAATATACTTTTAAATGTCGATTAAAAGGGAAAATGTTACCTGAAAGCAAGGGAATTTATCTGCAGTGATACACTTTTACAAGCTTTGTTTATAGTATGCAAGATTGGGTAGGTTATATAATCTACGAATTTAACCTGGTCTGATTGACTAGACTATCCCCAATAAAAATATCTCCAGAAAGTTGGTGACTTGAAATTAACCTTATTCGAAGTCTGCATGCTTTGGTAAAGTGAAAGGCTAAACTGATTACGACTATGTCGTTTTACAAAGTATCAATAATTAATGTAAGTGATGTTAACAGACAAAATATATTGTAGCCTACTTCCAAACACTTTAATTAACTTGCGTAAGAAGCAGTTTATGACACCTTCCTAAAGGAACTGCTTCACGCACAGATCTAACAGTCTAGTCTGTCAAATAGAATATACAGCTCATTTTAGTCACCCACCTTGATTAAACATTATACAACAATATTGATTGTACAAACAGATAGACGATTTGTCAGTAAATTAAAAAACTTAATGAGAAATATCAAAATATCAGCATGTTTATTCCATAAATATCCCCAAGCGAAATAAACATTTGACATATGCCCCTCGACTTGATTACACATATATGTGAACAGGCTTACGTGAGTGATTAGTCCAACGTTGCGACTGAAAGTGCCACTTGAATTATTCATGACGGAACCGTTAGAATGCATCAATCCAGAATGAGTATTTGTTTCCAATGCTCCTGGATTAATGTGTTGGTCATCGATTAAACCATTGCACTCTGCAACTCCGACCTTCATATCCGGGGAATCTAGAAATGAATAAGTGAGTTAGAGCGATAGCACAATAACATAAGAAAATGTTGATAATGTATGATAACTTACATGGATTGGCAGAAGTGAAGTTGACATTTGTGATATCTGTCGTAATTCCTTGTGCGCCATCATTCAAACTGCATTCGTTGAAATCAGTGCGGCAGATAGCAGTACGAGGGCATTTGTTTCTAAACGAACTGGAAATTTTATAAAGCTCCAGATAGTGATTTTCCACATAACAACAATACATATAAACTCTCAAACATGGTGAGATTACAAACTATGTGTCAAGTAACTACAGAAATCTATGTTTACACCACTAAGGTAGTGTAGTACCAAGGTAGTAAGTAGATGGCAGTGCCAAAATTGACAGCAACACATCTGTTGAATCTTCACGACACCCTGGCTGGGATTTAAGAGACGATGCAACAAAGTGGCTTGAGAAGCTATCAGACTAGGCTCAGAATAGATGCCAATGGCGGTCCTGCTGTTACTTCATAAAAGTGTAACCTATTTAACTGAAAGAATTCTTTGTGGTTGCATTTTTCCCAACTGAACTGCTCCTCCTCCTATTATAACTATTATTATTTCACTCTCATACACTAACTTTTATTCACTTTTGTCCTTTTATTATACTCACTTTCCTTTACCTAATTCATCACAGTTTCATTTTTAGTATGTGGCGCATAGATATATTGGTGCCCTTTTTTATTGATGTTTGTGTCCAAATAATTAAAAAATAAGCGGCTTAGCTCGAGTGCGGACAGAGCCCTTACACAACTGGATGTGTAAATCAATATTAGCGTTAACAACAGACCTGAAATAAATGAAAGGATCGCGATAAAAAAAGTGAAAAAATTCCGTTTAAAAACTGACTACTTAAAGTGACCGAAAAGTTTCATCATTTAATAATGTTTAGATATTTTATTAACCCGAATTAACACGAACATATTTATTTTGAACTAATTAATATGTTTTGAAACATTTACAAGAGGAAAGTAAAATGTGTAATTCGAGAATGAGTCAGGTTAAATGGGATGATCAGTACTACACATTTACGCAGTTTTACACGTAATAGTTCATGAAAACTCCAAACAGAATGAGTGGCTACTTAGAGCATTTAAGTTGTAACGTTTAATTTTAGTCTTACCGAAATGTGAACATCACGATAGTTCGTGCAGAAGATTGAACATAGCCATTAACATAACTAATTAAAACACCTAAAACTGATTCTTTGATGATTTAACTATTTACAAAATAGCTTTGACAGTAATGCTACTTACTACTCGTCAGTAGTTACATTATTTTCTTTGTACGATGTATTGTCATCGATAATACTATAATTCGGGAAGGATGGGGATGATTGCTCAAGGGCAGATTGCAAAGCAATGCCTTCTGGACATATATACTGTTCTCTTTCAATTCGATCTGGAATGCTAAGACATAAGCTTGGACGCTTTATGTCACTAGATGGTTCTTTCTGCAATTCCTGGGCTGCATGTCTGGCTAACCAAGTATTGAATAAATTCCTTTTCATTACAGATACAGAAGCGATCGGAATGTGTCGGGCTGACATTTTTGCATATTGCGTTTGATGATCTGAAGAAACGGGTGAATCGGTGGTCACCAAACCGTTAGGTATCTAAGAAGTAACAAACAAGATATTTTACAAAACCACTGATTTGTACAATAGAAAATAAATCTCAACAATAAATACAATTCTTAGAAAAATTGGTCATTTTGATTACGACTTGTAATAAAGTATCAATAAACCGCTTAGAAATGATTAACTTAGCGTGATTCTCGGAAATCTAGGAGTTCCTATACCAACTTTTCCTCAGAACCTAAACGGCACCATTAATAGAGATAATTCGGGCATTATTGTAAAGGAACGACAAAACTATAGCATCCACGGAACAACAACTAGTGTTAGCAAGAACAAAAAGTGGACACACAAAAAGGCTAATGAGCGTTATTCTTAGTTGTATATCCGAATTGAATTTATTAGGATTAGACAGCATAGTCGAGAGATTAGGTTAGTAATACAATTAATCACACCCAGCACTTTTTTTATGTGTACTGCTACATTTTGCCAATTCGAGTGATGCTATTTTTCATGCTTTTTGTTGTCCCTATATTTCTTTTTTATTTGCAATTAAAGTGAAACGTACATTAGGAACAAGTGGAAAGAACTGTACTTCAATCTTACTGAAAAACTGTTAAACCGTTTGTAGGATTTAATTTATCTTACAGATATTCTACCGAAACTGTAAACGATACTGGCGACCCCAGAGTCTATGTGGAAGCCATAATCAGAACGAGGAAAACTTAGCTTTAAGCTTCATCCGTTTCTAAGTGTAAAAACAATTCAATTAGTACAGTAATTAAAGGGATTATAGTCATTAAATGGGACGCACAAACATACCGGCCAGTATTGCGTGTCTTATCGAAATGAATAAAAAATCATGAGTTATACTAATATAATAGGATAATAATGTCCTTCAATTGGCAGGTTACATGCAACAGGGATAGTCTACAAACAAATCGGACCATATTGACGTGGTGGGCGCCTAAGCGACTAGTTAGTTGTGGACATGACTAACAGCTTTGATTCACAATCACGATCATGTTTCTCTTTCTCTATTAAAAAATTATACAATATCGAGCAAACAGTGGAGCTATGGCTTAATGATTAAAGCATCCGAATTAAACTAAAGTAGTGAAAGTAAGAAATATCAAAAAACTTGGCACTTGAAATAACGTAAGAATACTATATTTTGATAAAACGGTTTGAATTATACGATATTTGTGCGCATATTACCTTTACAATCGAAGATAAAGTTGAGTTACTTTCAGGTTTAGGAAGAAGTGATGGAGGTTGTGGCGCTGTTGAAAGGTGAGTGGATGAAGGTGTGGTCTGGGAAGTATTCTGATCACAAACGAAATCGTTATTTAATTCATTGAGGGTATTAGAACTAAGGTTTGAGTTTTGGTTTGGAGCTGGTTGCTGAGGGCTCAGAGTAGGCATGGATGGGTCGTGGGTTGCAGTTAAGTTGGTTGTAATCATTGGGAGTGGAGTCCTTGGACGATCACAGAGCGGGACATTGAAATGAATAGATGACTTCAAAGAATGTCGGATACAGGGATCTTGCTGATGAAACGAACCACCAACAGAAGTGTGACGAACCCGAGAAAACCTGAAAGGGTGGCCCAATAGACTATTTAGAAGAAATAACATATGCAGTAAAACCATTTTCACTGAATATTGTGCTCACTGAGTACACAAATTGTTAATAATGGTACTGCATTTATTTTATTAGTAAGTCTGTCGAGTATCCCAAAGGTTTAATTAAATAAGCGGATTTCATAAGTCGCCTGATACTGTTGGATCCAGTAATGGGAATTTTAAAAGACTGAGCAATCACAAACGCAGATTTTTTCGGATGAATGCAAATTTGTATTTGACACTATTTACGAGTGAATAATAGTTTCTGAGTGCTTAATATGAAAATCTTAGTAAATACATATCTTATCTTATTATGTTTCACACTAAAATATGAGATTTCACACTGACAAATGTATCCAATAACCGAAAAATGTGAATGATAGCCATTTGTAGTTAATTGGTTGGTAAAATGTATAACATTTTATCTTAAATATTTGCTGAACGTTACTCTTTAAAAACCATGTGGATGTGAACATTAAATTAGTAAGAAAATTACCTGTTGCAGCAGCACTGCAAGATAGTACATGGATCTTGTATGTACAATGAGCACATTTCGGGTGATACTGAAGTTATGAGCCCATTAGTACTACAACCCATATCACTTTTATCAGTAGAATGTGACCGTTTTGATTGCCACTCTGGTTTCATAGAAGGAAGACGATTATGTTGCGATGCACACTGGAGAGTTCTTCCAGCTAGATAGATATGACGAACATCTACTAAGAAATCAGACTGCAAAGAACTATTAGGAATAACTGCTTTCAGCAAAGACGTCCCAGGTGTGTTCATTTTTATAGACGGGCGTTTTCTCCGTTTGTTTACTCTCCAGAAGCGTGATGTTTTTATCTTATTTGGAATATGGGCATTATACATAGAACATTTGTTCGACATATAGGGCGCTGATACGTTCGTAGATAAATTATGACCGGAAACGTCTGATAAATGGATTGCTTCATCGTAAGGTGTTGGGTTATATTCCGGTTGACTAGGTGAATCGTTTACAGAGGTTATTAGAACAAAGCACATTGGGTATCTCATACGGAAACCATCTGTGAAGAAATACGAACCAATGACAAATAACGAATTTAAAATACACGAACCGACAAAGACAAAATACCTGTGCTATGGTAAATATACACATGACAGAACATTTAGTGTTCACTACCCTGTAGATAATTAGGTACCTACTGTACATGAATTAGAATCCAAACATTCGCATCTTACTTAATCCATGTAATCACACTAAGAATTATTTGGCCAAAAGCTTAAAGGTTAAAAATGATAAAACTTGAACAAAACACTGCATTGGACCAAGACATGCTTATTGAAAATCTCATCTCACTTTGTAAATCCATTTAATCAACGGGAAGCAGTTTGGGACAGCAAAGTAGTAAAGACATTTAACTTGACGATTAGGTTGTACGTTCACACTATGCTGCATTTACTTTGATTTGAGCAGAAAAATCTATTGTTAATCCTCAAAAAACTGAGTACACGACCCTATAATTGAGTGATGGGCTGTTATCTAAACATAAAGACAGAGTGCACTAATAGCGGTATTTCAGCTGCCTAAACCTCCATTCACTAAAACACAAAAAACAAACCAACTCATTCACCATATATTTTACTATGAGCCAAACTTTCAGTGCGACAGACTACTGGGTTGCCCAAACCTAGGTTGGTAATATGGGGTTCGAATTCGGGACTAAGTGGTCAAATTTTGGATACTTTTACTACTAAGCCACTGCATTGACTACACTGAAACATGAAGGTGACTGTACAGAAAAAGGTTCAGGACTGATATTCTTCACAACACGGAAGAAATAATCACCTCTGTTCATCAAACCATTTGACATTTTAGAGGCACACGTGACATATTTTTGTCCTAGAGAAATACCTAAAGAAGAACACGATTAACAGAGTACCGTGTATACATGTAATGTACTAAATAATGTTACTTTCCATCGAAAGCACCTTGAAAATTCTATGGACCATTACTTAGTAACTGTATATTTACCACCTGCTAGTGACAAACTTCACATTAGTATGCCGTTAGGCTGTTGTACACGTAAAACCTACGCATGAATCTCTGCAGTAAAATCACGTAGATTTTGTCAACTAATTCCAAATCTAATGACTGAGGAAACTCTACTGAATAAACGCACATATGAAATATACTTACTGAGTAATCTTTTAAATCGTAAATACCATTCCGAAGTCTAAATGTCCAATACTTCTGAGTTGCACGCCTGGTGTCCTTTAGAGAGACCAATTTATAATTACTTGATAATCAATAACAATTTTGGGGCATCTAATAGTCCTAAACCACTTACAACCATTGCATTACATAAATAGCGGATATTTGCTAGACGTTTCTGCTTAGTTGCAGCAAGTGATAACCCATAACTAACTATCCTATCTTGGTCAGTCTGGCGTCTCAATTACATGTCCTCGTACAGTAAGAGTGAATTACGGGTCATATTGGTTGAGTGGGTTGTCTACATAGCTTGGGGATGATTGGAAATTGATATCACAGATTTTAGCGCTAACTTACCGACAATCACCTCAACAAATTTGGGTGGGGTATCTAGACACCGTCGATTGATTTCTTCCACTGTCCGCTTCTTATCATTACTAAATCTATTCTGCTGACGTGGATTCTGATGCGTAGGAGTAGCCATAGCGAAAAACGGCAGACCAGTTACACCACTCATAGAAGGGTCACATTCGTGACTGGGCCTGAGGGGGTAAAAAGTCGACCATGCTTCTGATTCAACCATCAGATCTCTGTCTTTCTTTTCAAAACCGAAACCCGTCAGCTCTGCAGATATTCCATAAGGTGCCAGGATGACTGTAATTAAGATTCACGGAGAAATATGTTTGTTTGAATATGAAAGAGTGCAAAACAACACGATCCTGAACGGACGTTTATACTTTTTACTATAATTATTTCGTAATCTGACCCGTACTTGCTTTCATGAGTTAAGCCATCTAAAGAATTGTTTAAAAATGATCGGATAAAAACTAAAGGAAAGTGAGGTTGAAGCTGACCCTTGAACTAGACAAAATATGAGTGAATACGGTAGAATTATGTTCGGTCCGGCCGTACACTACCATACTCGTTTTTAAGAAGCACCTTTTGATACCAACTTCTAAGGATCACTGTCATATACTTGTCTAGCGAAAGAATTCACCAATAGGATGTGAAAAAGTAATAAGCTCGTAACGCGGAACTGTGAAATGAATTTGGTTTCAGATTATATCACTGAGAGAGCACTACTTGTGAACGCAACATCGTGAAAAAGCCTAAAACTAATATCGAATACATGTGATCGAAATATCAAGACACCAAGAATAATAAACAGCAATTTGACTAACGTAGCTTCTACTCAATAATCACAACCGAACTAGTTAACTGTAAACTAACGACAGTGGAACCCATATTGTACTAGCACAACCCATATAAATCGTGACTAAATAAATGTTTTGCATATAAAACAGTATATTCGTCACAATAGATGGTGGGTTTATTTGACATACAAAAATCTAGTTAAACCGTCATGGTGGTTAAGCAGATAAAACATGTGTCAACTATGTTGAAGGTTGAGATCCCTTTGTACTTGCTTCAACCCGGCAGTCGGACAATATCTCTGATTTTTAAATCTAACAATCGTGATGCAAGATCGAGTGCATGAACATGTACTAAGTTGTCAAGATAGTGGCTTTCCGCCAGTCAAAAGTAAAATAAGAAACTCATACGAACGTGCATTGTCTCAAGTCACTGCAGCGCTTGATAAAATTACAAATTACAAAAAGTAACCTTACTAGTAAGTAGATCATAGCATGTGGGGAAAAAACTATGCACTTGACATTATTAATTAAATAAGATAGCAGGAACAATATGTGTAAGATAATTACAGCTAAGCAGCACTCCACATTTATTCGGGAAATCATTAGTAAAATAGGTAATGGTGGACACTAATACAGCTGAGCTACTGAAGGATGACACTGGGTCTATACCATTATCTGACCACACAAAATACGATGAATACTATGTACTTTATCATCAGCACAAAAATTGACATATAAATACCCTTAATATGGAAGCAAATTGTGCGTAGCATATTAGATACCTTAGGGAAGACTTACCGGGTATGGTTGACTGACTTGTGATACAACTCTGAATGTGTTCAACTCCAACTCTTTGGACAGCAGCGTGTTGACGAATGTCGAGACTGGCACACACCGTACTCTCACCGTGTAGGAAGAACGAAAAACTGACACTGTACTGTACGCTAGGAAGAATTAAACTTATGTCATTTGATCTTACTTTTCATCGTTGCAACCGCATTTACGAGGCTGTACAAACCATTTGCCCAAGCGCACAAACCCTTTAGTAAGCAGACATCTTTAAATATTAGATCAAAGACCTGTGTACAAACCTTTCAACAACGTTGTGCAAGGCTCGAAACAACACAGTTCTTGTTTCATATGATAAACCTTGTCGCCAGTTTCCATGGTCCTCCCTACGGAGTTCTGGCAGTATACAGCTATCAGCATTTGGAAAGTCATCGTTTCCATACCAAAACACCCAGAGCTCTTTAGCAAACTTCGAAAAAGCGCAAGGATTTGATAAGTCAGATGACTCTGGCTTTGAGCGCACCCAGGCTGAAAGAACGCCATACTTTTGGCACAGTGTGTAGGACTTAATAATTGGATCGTTTAGCGGGTCATGATACTCTTTGGGATTATGAAGGATGTATTTTCTGTACTGTATACCACTGAAATCAGTCTATAGGGAAACAGTAATTGGTCAATTAAACTTCAAACAGTATTTCATTGAAAAACAACGTTATATACTAAGCACTTACCAAGGCGAAAATATTAGTGAAGCAATGCTCAAGTGAAGCGTCATTAGGCCCTGTCAACTGGCTCATACTAGACATATTACATGGAGCTCACTCCATTGCTACATTACTATTTTTAACTAACCACCTAAACTAAACGCAAAATATTCCGCCATGCAGACAGGTATCGCAGTACTTCCTGAGGCACTCAAACAATCAGTAGGCTAACATGTGGATTGTTGTTGAGTCACAGTTAGGCTAATAGAAAAGTATTGTCGGTTATGATGTCGAGAGCCATACACCAATTAAATCATTATGTGTAAGATTGTATATTGGTATTGTGTCAAACAATAGGGTAGGAAATGATCTATTTTCAATGTCCACAGGAGGATCAGACTTTCTGCACTGATAACACGAATTTAGGTAGAGTTAAAATATATCTCCTCGCAGGCCTCTTAGAAAAATATGGTTTTTCACTTGTCCACAAAAGCAATTTAATCGACACGGAACAAAATGTGAATCAACTTTGGCAGAAGGTGCAAAGAAAAAACAACCCAACTGTAAAATGCGTAAACGTCACTCATTTTATCAATAACTGCCAATCATTACCACATTATTTTAATTAAGTTCCGCAGTTTAAAATTTCTTCGCGTGATCCCATGCAAACATCATAGCAATTAGAAAGTGAGACCGTTTTTCCGAGATTTGTTGTAAAAATCTCATTTTTCAATGACGATCAAAATTCTCTATCACATTCGAGTTATATCACTATCATAGTTGTAGTGGTAAAAAACCCAAAACAAATAGTTCTGTAAGTCCCCGACACTTGGTGCTGACCCCATTAGTTTTAACGGACACACATAGCTGAATGCTTTCGATCACGCATCCTCACCAGATCATGTGTGGATACGCCATGCTACACATCTCTTGCAACTACTAACCAGCATAGACCAAACGCTTCTCGACACACCGATAGCCTTCCAAATATATCTTCGAACTCCAACATTTCTGACTTTTGGTTTAACTGGGTTGGTATACTTCGATTTTGGAGGTAAAATGGTTGTCAAATTCTGAATACCTGTTTCATCTTTACATTTCTTATCTGTGTCTGTTTCGGAAGCTAGATTGATTACAATACATCTATCCTGTCGTCTGGATCACTACTGAGAACCAGGAAGCACTGTAAAGCTATTTCTCACCACTGAGGAATCCTGTACTAGAACGAAACAACTCTCCATTGTTACGGTCCATGATTTAGACTGTTGAAATTCCACCATCTCCACATATCCCTCCATACATTGACTCTTTCATCGTTTGTTCTTTTGATCTTCCCAAAAATACCCTCACCAAGAATTTACTTTTAAACTCTAGGCAAAATGAATTTTTGTTGACTTTGTTAGTAATTAATGAAATGACCATTCACATGGTTAATGACCAATTATGTAATCGGAGTTAGTAGTTCTGCTAATTCGGCTACACTTGACAAGCTCGGCTTAATTTTACCTTATTATGCTCCTAATCTTAACATAATTTGAGATTAACTGGACTAGTATGGCTGCCTAATCTACACGACATTACGTGAAACCTGCACTACCTAATAATATCCCTGTCCGGTCCACTATAGTCTGGTTAACAGGTCAGGTTACACATAAGATCTTGTCAAGTGGAGTTATATTTAGGTCCACAAAGAAAGAAAGTACAACACTAAATGTGACTGATCCGCGTGACGAGCTGATTCTATTCAATCAGTTGACCAACCAAAGTTACTCGTCATCGACTTACGGCTCATGATAGGTAGTTCAGTGTCCAGTGATCAGTCTTCAGAGGAGGAGTTATGTTTTACATACATTTAGCGGGTTAATTCTCTCAGAATCTTTTTAACATCCTACTGTCCTAGTGACTGGACTTGATGACAAATTTGGCCATAATCTTGTGACGTTTACGTAAAGAACCCACAACTTTAACTGCATATTCAGTGAAGGTGTTCATATAAGTTTTGTCTCCAGAGCGCAACCATAATGTTCAATTTTATCCCTGATACCCACAGTGTGCACCTGTAAGAAAACCTATCGAACATCAGTCGGCATCACACCTCTTGCGCTCAAATTCCTCACCATTTTGAGCACATTTGCCACGGAGCAAACACCTTGGAAACTCAACGATCTTTATGATAACGATGTGTTGAAATCGGTATTGCACAGTTTCTATTCGTACGACCACCTTGTTTCTCTTTTAATCAGGAAGTTTCGTGACAAATCTATTCAAAAAATCTGACGGCTTCCGATGATTCCAGATTAAAATGTGGGTGGCTGACTGGGACTAGTGAGTTAAGTTTACAAACTTCTGAAATATAGAGACAAAAGTTTTAAGCCCTTAAATCATTGATTCGATCACGAAGCTGACGCCAGTGAATGTTCCACAGTGTACGACATCTTGAGAATTCGGTTTGACCTAAGTGTAAGTCATCCAACCGGGAAAGGAATACTATCCTTTCTTTCATCCTTGTTCAGCCCGTTGGGTATGACTGGTCCGACATGCTTTTGCAATCTTCAAGGTCTAGGTGGGTTGGTATCAGCCCTTGAGTACTAGTGTTACGTCCTCGTGGAACAGCTGGACTAATTAAATGGGAGGCTTGGCCGTAACCAGAAGCATTAAATGAGGATGAAAGTAACGTTTAGGAAACCGAGTTACATTTTTTCCTTCATGCCCACAAAATAGGCGTTGAAATGGTTGTGTGCTTATAGAACGTCTCTGGACACGATCCCTCGTACACAGTGTTTTTTCGTTGTAAGTGAAAGGAAGCACCTGTAAAACCTTTAACTGTGGTAAAATTAAAGTAGGCTAGGATTTTCTCTCCTTTCTTTTCAGCACCACGAATTTGACACGCGAAGTTGGAATTGATTCAGATGTGCCTTCATCAAAGTTCCATTTTTCACGAGATACCTTTTTTAAAAAGTTTGAAACAGACACGATCTAAACATAGTTCTAGCACACAAACCAATTTATTAACCTGTTGGTATATTTGAATGAATATTCATGTATTTTCACTGATTTTGTCTGTTGAATAATTCTATTTGGTCAGTATTGTATCTGTAATCCAATGTTTTAAATTAGTGATCACGCCTTTAGAGATAATGTGTACATGCTATGAAATATATATGTTGTTATTATTCAGTGGGGATCTCCTACATCTGTTCGATAAGATCCACTTAATAACAATGATATGTTCTCAAATAACAGTATGTTGCATGAAGATAGATTCCATGATTATTATGTGCTACGCGAAAGCTGGAAATGATAGCTCACGACAAAGTGGGTTTGTTACTCTCGGCTGGCGCCCTATAATTTACGAGAGATAAGAAGCGTAAGTAATGTGAAGAACACCTAAAGTAGTTAAACGCCGAGTTGTTAATCATCAGCTGACGTCTTTAGATCATTGAAGATACGTTGAATCTGACAAACATCCTCTGGACCCGACATTGAAAAACACACGGAAAGAATTTCAGTTAAAAATCTGGCTTGACAGCCATCCATTCTTCAGTAGAGTGGTTTTAAAGCTAACGTGACTTTTCTAAGAACAATGTCATGCAACTAAATTAAATACACTATTTGGTGAAATTATGCGAGCTGTGAAGTTGTAAACGATGAGCATAATTACCTATGAGATTGAGAAAATGCTAAGTGATCTTATAGTCTTTGAAACCTTTCTAGTGATGCTCCAGATTTCAAACAACAAAGAAGAATTTGCAGATTATTCACTACTATATATTTAAATCAAAAATGCTTCGTGTTTATGTAGAGTTATGATACGGTTTATCAAAAAACCGAGATTTTCAGTAAACTATAGTTATTTTTTCAGTGAATGTAGAAAAGTACACGTCGATTTCAGTACCTTTGATACACTTTCTTATCAGAAAGCTAATTCTGAATCAGTTCTAGTAGTCTTCTTACATATTTCTGACTAAAATGAGTTCCCATTCTCCAATACCATACTTCATCGTATCAGGGAACACTTCTCTGCATATATGGCATAATGTTTATCGTCGAAAAACTATCATTTACTGTACGAAATGTCCCCAGTTAAAAGTCTTCAAATATAAAGACATGAAAACTACTATCCGAAAAAGTTACATTTTTTGTGTGCATGGAATCATCAAATGAACAATACCATAACTTATGGTACTGCATGCATATATGCTGCTTGTATCATTATGTTCCTACGACGAAGGTTGCAACGTAAGTAATAATAGGTCTCCTTCTGTTTGTACGAAAAGGTTATAACTATGGGTTTAAGTGCCATATTAACTGATTTGCGCGGACTGGTAATTAGCGGTCAAATTAGAAGGATTAAAAGAGTGATGTATGAAGGAAAAAGTGAACTTGTTGAATATTATTAAGTATGTCATTAGGTGCCTAAAATTATAATAGCTCTAATAAGAAATTGAACTTGAAGTGAGACAAATAATCAGCGACTGAAATCTTACCTGCACATAAGCTTCGAACCGTGAAATTCTTCAAATATTCTCTGTATATCAAAATCTTGTTACAGAGTAAATGTCAACAGATGCGTATTGAATTCAGATTTATTTACTAAATTGTACCGCAATTATTCATTAAAAGATCACGGTGCTTTTGTGTAGGAGTTTTGTTGATTACTGAAATCTAAAATCTGACCATCTAACATAGCAAGAGCATTCGTCTGAAAGCGCTTTATAACTAAACATTTCTGAAATACAGATCCATCGTTTGTTCAACAACATATAAACAGGGGTTGAAAGCTTAGGTGTATAGTTACATATAATAAGATTTTCCGAAGTATGTTGGTGCGATAAGTACAAGTATTTGAATTGCTATATGAACTAAGAATCCCAAAGATGACGCAATAATTCAGGAAGAACTAGGCTAGCACAGGCGAACTTATTGTATTTGGAATTCCAAATCAGACGGACATTAGGTACGAAAGTCCATACAAGCACCATAGTTGTCATAGAAAACACAGAATAACACGTATATCCAACTGCATTTTATTGGGAGTGGTTAAATCTAAGACTAGACTGAGGGAAAGCGATTGAGAAATGTTAGTAAGCATCAAAATGATAGAAGTCCATTGATTCAAACTATGAAACCTTACTAAGTTACTTCCATGTTTAAGTAATCGAGCAGATTCGAAAGCAACCAATCATTCGGTCAGAAACAAACCTAACATAATTGGCTTTAAATACAAAATATTATTGGGTTAAACCTTAGATTTGCGTGACGTTGTGAACCGATTCGGTGTAGATCTGTAGAATTATGGTCTACTATGATTTTAGTACCGCTCCAATAATAGAC